AACTTTCGCCTGAGACATTCCTCGCGACTTTGGGTTCCGAGATGCGCTCGCGCGAGATGGCCTGGCCAGTTTAGCCAGTAGCGCTGGCAATGCTTCCAGGAGGCATGCCCCCGTCGGCTTCATGCGGCCCAGTCAGGAGGCCTCCAACGACCATGCCCTCAGCGCGGGATCCGCCTGCGGGAGAGCAGCAGGCCGCCTTGCATGGTCACTCCCACCGCTGGCTCAGGGCTGGCCGCGCTGGCAACCGCGAGCAGACAGGCTAGGCCAGGGGCCGGGAGAGAAGAGCCGCCTGCGACGAGGCTACGGACCCTGCGGCGACGACCTGAGGGGGTTTGCCGGCCGGACCCAGCACGCAGCGGTGGTTGGGATGGAACTCCAAGCGTGCCCGCCCCCTTGCGGCGTGCGTTGCTTTGCCCGCGTCGCGCCCCAACTCGCAACGTTTAAGAGGGCCGCTCACGTCTGCCATTCTTGGGCGCGGTATCGCTTGCCCTGTGCCGAAAAACCGCATGCCCACAGGAATTGGACCTCGGGATTGCACGCCCAGTTCCCCGTCAGGCCAACGGCCATATCGATGCAGGGGCGCTCCAGGTAGTCGTGGAGGCTGTACGGATGGACGATTTAAGTATCCATTAAGACACAGTTGTTCAGGCGGGGCCCAGATTGCGCACAAAGAGATTCGGGCGGACCTGTGGATTGTGGGCCGCAATGCAGCACCCCCGCTTCTTCGACGATGCCGCATGGCGACATGGACCCCGCTACGACATGTCGCACGTCGCGTCGAGCGCCCGCGCCGAGTTGTAAGGGCACGTTGCTTTCAAACGCCACGCTGCGAGGGGTCACTTGCGGGCGAGACAGGCAGAACTGCGGACGTCCGGCGCGAGAAGAACATTTGTTTCGGCCGAGAAGAGACACAGAGCGCAAGGAAAGCGAGCAGGGAAGATAAACGAACGCAGTGAAGACTACGGGGGACGCGAAGGAGCAACGCGAACCAGAAGAGGGACCCAAACTATAACAACAAAATTGGAGTGGGGTTGTCCAGGCGGTTGTCTAAGGGGTTGTCTTGTCCAGCCTCGACTCCCACCTCCCCCTCATCCTCCTCTTCCTTCGGGTGATGTTCCTCATCCTCTTCGCGCGGCACGCGCGACAACGACCATTGCAGCCAATTCAGCGCAGTGCGTCACGCGCGTGCCAAGTCGCGAAGGCACCAATTCAGAGACCGCCGTCCCGAGGATCACGACGTCGTGCCACGCGCGTGCAGCGTCGCGCAGGAGGCGGTTCGAATACCGAAATCACGAGGAACCGAAGCGCGCCGCAAACGAGCAACCGCGCGCAGCAACCCATTCGGGGACCCCCGCTGCAGCAGCCGCCAGGGCGCGCCCGCCAGGGCGCCCCCGCTGCAGCCAGCCGCGGCCACAGGGGAATCCCGGTCGCATGGGAAAGCTCGACCGCCACGCCGCGGCAATTGTTGATGCAATCGCCGCGGCGATTTCCCCCGTCCTATGATCCCTCCTCGGATCTCTCTTCCTTTCCCTGCTGTTCGTCGCCCTCAGTTCGGCTGGCCCGCGCGAGGAAGGGACGCGGACCTCGACGACGACGACGGTGGTGGCGGTTGTTGCCTCGGCGATGGCGCGCGCGCCGGCGCGCGCGACCTGTCGCAACTCCGGTTTCCCAGAGACCGCGACAAAAAGTGGTTTTGGACAAATCCGCCAGCGATATCCCCGCGCCCCTTGGCACCGAGATGTCGCGTGAGAGATTGTCGAGCCACTTCGGCTTGAGATTCCCTCGCGACTTTGGATTCGGAATTGCCGCGCGCGACTTTGTCCAGCCGCGCGAGAGTTGCTCTATCCTGTTTCGCCTCAAACGTCCTTGCAACGCTTGGCTCAGAACTGGCGCGCGCGAGTCGGTCGCGCCAGTTCCGTTTGATGTATGCCGCGCACGAGGTGGCCCTCAATCAAACAAATCTTCGCCATTCTGGATTCGGGGATGCTGCGCGCGAGGTTGTCCAGCCAGTTTCGCTTGAGACTGCCTCGCGACTCTGGGTGCAGAGATGCCGCGTGAGAGATTGTCGAGCCACTTCGGCCTGAGATTCCCTCGCGACTTTGGATTCGGAGATGCCGCGCGCGACTTTGTCCAGCCGCGCGAGAGTTGCTCTATCCTGTTTCGCCTCAGACGTCCTCGCTACGGTTGGCTCGGAGCTGGCGCGCGCGAGGTGGTCGCGCGAGTTCCGCCTGATGTATACTCGCAACTTTCCGCGCACGAGGTGGTCCAGCCCGCTCAATCAGACACATCCGCGCCGTTCTGGATTCGGGGATGCTGCACGCGAGGTTGTCCAGCCAGTTTCGCTTGAGACTGCCGTGCGACTGTTGGCCCAGACATGCCGCAGGAGAGGTTGTCCGGCTAGCTTCGCCTGCGACGACGTGACATTTTTTTGTTTCTAGAAGCCGCGTTCGAAGTTGTCCACTGGGGTTCGCCTGAGAGATCCTCGCAACTAGGGGCTCCGAGATACTGCGCACGAGATTGTCCAGGCAGTTTTGAATGAGACCTCGCAATTCTGCGCTCCGATATGCTCTGACCTGAGGTGGAAAAGGCCAGTTTCGCTTCAGATGTTCTCCAAATTTTGGGCCCAAGGATGCCGCGCGCGATGTTGCTTGGTGAGTTTAGCATGAGACATTCTCGCAGTTGTGGGCTCTGAGATGCCCTGTTGAGGTGTTTCAGGCAGTTTCTCTCGAGACATCCTTGCAACTGTGGGTTCAGGGATGCCGCGGGACAGAAATTGGCCGGCCAGCCTCGTCTGAGACGTTTTCGCAATTCTCGGCTCGGATGTGCTCTGTCTCGAGGAGGTCATTGGCCAGTCTGACTTGAGGCAGGCGCCCAGCTATGGCCTCATAGATGCCATGCGCGTGGGTGTCCAGCCAGTGTCGCCTGATACATCCTCGCGATTCTATGCTGGGAAGCTCCTTGTATCAATATTGGAAGGGTCGTCCGGCTTGTCCGGGGGGTTGTACGGGGATTTTTTCCGACGGGATATTTTTTCCCATTGAACATAGTATGGCACACCCTTCACACGTTGCGTGGCCCCATAGGGAGCTCCACCGAAGGCCCCAGTGGCTGCGCTCGCACCCATTTCGGCACACCCCTCACACGTTTCGTGGCCCCATAGGGGAGCGCCACCGAAGGCCCCAGTGGCTGCGCTCGCATGACACCACCGCACCCATTTCGGCGTGCCCCTCACACGTTTCGTGGCCCCAGAGGGAGCCCCACCGAAGGCCCCAGTGGCTGCGCTCGCATGACACCACCTCGCCCATTTCGGCACACCCCTCACACTCTTCATGGCCCCATAGGGAGCCCCACCGAAGGCCCCAGTGGCTGCACACGTTTTGTGGCCTCCCTAGGGAGCTCCACCGGAGGCCCCAGTGGCTGCGCTCGCATGACACCACCGCGCCCATGTCGGCACACCCCTCACGTTTCGTGCCTCACAGGGAGTTCCACCGAAGACGATACCAACAACTGCGTTATTCACAACTGCATATGGTTGGGTCCTTTCCCAGGATGATTCTATTTGTTTTTGCATTTTCAGTCGAGACTGCGCCTGTAGAGGGGCATGCCCGACCTAACTCAATCACTGTAATTCCACTCGTTGACCCCTTCCTATCCTCCCCATCCCTCAGGACCCCATCTCTGAATCACCGATGCTTGTTTGTCGGTTCTCAGCGGTTTTCCTCGAAGAACAAACAAGTGCATGATCATCAACTGTCGGAGCTCAGAGCGGAGTCCTTGAATCTGCGCTGGGCCCAAGCTGGCGGCGCCTCCGGCGCAGCCCCTGACGTGCTCCGCGCGCCAGGAAGGGGCTCCCCGCGCCGATCCAAGGAGTCCGGAACTCCGAAATGTTATGTTCATGTAGTTTTTTGCTCCTCAATTTCCAGCCTGGGGGTGCGCTCCTGCGCCTCGCCGGAAGCGATCCGGGGGTGCCTGGAAATCAGCCCGAACCGCCGCGGGGCGCCCGAGCTCTGCCCTTCGAGGCAGCAGGCCCGAGGCAACGTGGCAGGGGCCTTTCGAAGGAGCGACCACACGTACGGTCGGTTCGTGTCGCGTCGACGCGGCGGCGACCCCAGAGCGGGCGATCAAGGTTCGATACCGCCGGTGGCACGGAATCAGTCAATAGTCTATAGGCCTCCCAGATGGGGTCGGAGTAGGTATGGGGTCGGAGGAGCGCTCCGCATCGCCGATGCATCGGCGATGCGGCTCGATGCGTAGCCCGATTTCCTGCACGCGGACGTTGCCAACGCATCGCCGACGTCGCCATTGCATATATCATATAACAGGAAACTGGGCCCCCGGCCCCGGGGGCGGCCCTTTTTGTCAAAACTCCGTCCCCCCCCGACCGCTTTTTAGTCCTGGAGGGGGCCGACCCGTTTCGGGGCGCTTCCGGGTCGGGCTCGCTGTGGGGGTCCGCAAATTTGCCGTCAGAGCGATCAGACAGCCGTCCTGGCGGCCCAGGACGGCCCCGAGCCATCCCGAAGACGGCATCCAAGGGCTTCAGACGGCCCAAGGAGTTTTCAAAGGACGAAGAGGCACCCAGGCCCAAATTATGAATTCCCATAGGTTCTTGACGGATTATTGCGTTCCTGCCGCTTCGTGCTTCCAACGTTCCTAGACAGCTCAAGAGGCGCCCAAGACCGCCCCGAAACGGCCCAAGAGGGGTCAAAGAAAACCCCAAGACGGCGTCACAGACCTCTCGGGAGCCTCAAGATGACCCGAGAGGGCCCCAGGACGGCCTAAGAAGCCCCCCCAAGACGGGCCAAGAGGGGCCCCAGATCGGCCCAAGAGGGCCCCAGGAGGGGGAACACGAACCCACAGGTCCAGCCTTCCGCCTCCCCAAGGGTTCTACCCATAGCCAAGTGTCCTCTCTCCGACCTCCCTATATATATATATATATATATATATGGGTGTGTGTGATTCTTTCGTCATCAACGCGTTATGACCTCGGCCCTAATTAGCCGAGGCGAATCTCACCGACGCCAACCTGACCCGGCACAACAGCGGCCTCTCCAGAGACGGCGATGGCTTCGCGCTGGAGCACAGGATCGACGCCCCTGGCATCGGATCGGCATCGTGCTGAGGCAGGGGGTGAGTCGGGCCAGACACCGGCCATCGAATAGCAGGACAATGCAGGAACAGAAATGTTCGGAGTTTCACGCGGGCTTCAGGGGTCGGCGCTGGAGCCCCGATGGCGGCGTCCCTCGGGCCACTGCTGGCGCGCTCCGGACGCCAGCGTGGGGGGTCAGCGCCCATGCCAGAAATCTGCGCGGACCCTCGAAAGGTTCGGCTCATGTGAAGTTTTCTGTTGCTCCAGGCCTCTCGAGCGGGAGCACGCCCGTCCCCTCAGACTCCGGGGGCGTCCACGTGGGGGTGATGATGCCATGGCCAGGCAACGGAGTCTCCCCGGATTTCAGCGCTTTTGTTCGACGCGTCCCTTGTCCCTCGCCCCCGCCGCACGTGCCTCGGGGCCGTGGTCTGCGAATCCCTTGGACGCCCACCTCTTGGGCGCCCCCGACCCCAGGCCGCCCCGCGTCGCGAGCAAGCACTCCGACGGGTTGCGCCGGGGCTGCTTCAGTGCTGCCGTCGAGCAAGACTTGCTTTGGATGAACATCTGCTTACGGGGCAGGTCAGGGGCAACGATAGGGGGGGATAGGCAAAGGGGGGGATGCATCGACCCCCGATCGCCCATTGGTCGCCGATAGGTGCCCGATAGCCGCAATCTGCCCAGGAACGTGCGGATTCACGATCGGAGGCCTGTCGCCGATCTATCGGCGATATATCGCCGATGCCAGGTCGATGCGTACCCCCCTATGCCAGTCCCCCCCTAGCGTTGCCCCTCAGCAGGGGTTACGACCTTTTGGGGTTCGCGTGAAACGACACCTCGCAATTTAATTACGTAAGCTGGCGGAGGCCCAGCCACGACGACAAGGGCTCCTGCTCGATACTTCCTCACGATTTACTCCGAGAGCCAGGGGGGCCCCCGAACTCAGGAACGGCGCTCTCGCTTGAGACTTTCCCGAAACTCAGGCAAGTTGGTGGAGGCCCGGACACCTCGGCCTGGGCGTGCTGACCTCGGAGTCCCCAGAGACCTCATCGCGAGGTCCGTTCGCTGGACGAGTTTGGGGCCCCTGGAAGCCCCGGTCGCCCGAGGCATCCTCAGAGAACGTCCCGAGTCCCAAAAACCGTGCGACCGACCGAATCCCCGTTGACTCACCACACGGTGAGGTGACCATCATGTGTTGGTTGCGCACATCAAGGTCAGCAAGCAGCCTTCAGCGCTCGCGTCCCGGTTCCGCACGCTTTGTTCTCCTCTTCCCAACTGGTCGGCCTTCTCTCATTGCTGCCCCCTGGGCTTTTTAGCATGGGCGTTCGCCTTATTTGCGATTGCTCTCGAATTAGACTGGGCGACGCTTGGGCGTGCCACCGCCCAGAGGTCGCCCCCCACCCCCCCCATGGGTTCTCGGTGGCGGTGGTCTCTGCTTCTCCTTCCAAGATCTGGGGGCTCGAGGGACCTCGGGGGTCCGGAGCGGAACCTTGCAGCAGCCCGCGCGGCGTCATGTCTCCGGGAGGGCCGCCCTCACCCCCATCCTGTGCGGTCCCTTCATGGGAGCCTCAGATCACCGAGGACAGAAGAGCCCCTAACCTCGATAACACGACGAAGACGTGGCCGCACCGAGGTCCCCGCCTTCGCATTCGGGATAACAATTCTGGGCGGTTTGGTCCGATACATCTGCAGGAAAAGACCCCCTCTTCCTGATGCTTTTGTCCCTCCTAACTTAGGTCCCCTCCAAAAGGGTCAGAGGCACTTTGATTGCTTATCACCAGAGGGTCCAAACGTTCCGTGCGGCTTGGGGGATCCCGCCTGGATCTCGTCGGAGTCGCTGGACAGCTGGACGAAGCCTGCACGAGATCTGGACGAAAGGGTCAAGTGGGGTGCTCGGAATCCAGACGAAGCCTGGTCGAGCTCACAGCTATGACCGGGCCGCGGAGGTCCGCAGAGGGAGCGGGTGGGGCTCCCCTCGGGCCAGGGTGGGCGCTCCTCCTCCGCTTCGGCATGCCGTAGGGAGGCGCGCCGGCGGCCGCGGGAAGCACCAGTGTCGGAGGCGACGACAGGGGTGGACCTAAACGGTGTTTCGGGGATTTCGTGGGCCGTTTTCGTTTCGATGTCGTTTTGCGGTGAAGGCGGATTGAACACAAAACGATGGAAAACGAAAACAAAACGAAAACGATAACGAAAAATACTGTTTAGGTCCAGCCCTGGGCGACGATAGGGGCGAACAGCCCAGGGGGGAGCAATAAATGTGCCCTTTGGTCGTTGGGAGTAGGTCTGTCTGGGTTTCCCCAGGCCCAGCCCTGGGCGACGATAGGGGCGAATAGCCCAGGGGGGAGCAATACATGTGCCCGTCGGTCGTTGGGAGTACAGTCGACCCGCATAGTAAGGATGGGCAACCTTCCCAAGGGCACCATTGCATCCTTGCCTCCTCGGTCCATCCTTCGCCACTTTCGTTGGCCACGCCCCGCTCGAAAAGCTTTCGAACTGGGCGTCCAAGGCCCTTGCATTCTTATCGCGCATCCTTACTATACTGGTTGACTGTACATGTGCCCGTCGGTCGTTGGGAGTAGGTCTATCTGGGCTTCCCCAGGTCCCAACCTACTCTTTGGGTGCCTTCCTGCCTCAGGGGTCGAGCGGTCTTCAGGGGGCGCGCCAAGACCCGAGCTGCTCTCGACGCCCTGCTGCTTCATGCTTCGACACACTTCTTTTAAGTCGGACCTGTCCCCCTACAGGAAGAATAGCAACACATAATTTAGAATAGTATGGGTTTTTTGTTTGCAAATGTTGTTGTGATTATGTTTGGGTATTGTTGGGCTATTTTTAATTTTTCGTCCAAAATCCGCCTGTAGGGGGACATGCCCGACCTAACACTTCTTTTGACCGACGGGTATCCAGTGGCGCTGATGATCCACGTCTTCGGCGAAGCTCCAGGGCGCATTCGTGCCCCGCCCGCCCCTGGGCTGAGTACTTGCCCTTGCCGTCGCCGCCGACCGGAGTGTGGATCCGCGGCATCGCTAGGGGGGGTAGGCTCAGGGGGGGATGCATCGACCCCCAATCTCCCAGGCGACCGCAAACATGGATCAAGGGGGCGTGGATTAGCGACGGGTCCCGTTTCAATGGGAAATCGCGGATTTCTGCCGCCGAACGAGGCGGCACCAGCTGCATTTTGGGGAGGGCAGCTCCCCCGATCCATGGATTTGGCGACTGCGCGCCAAATCCAAGGAGCGCCAATCCAGCTTTGCGCGCCCCCGATTCTCCCACTGTCGGGAAACAAGCAATGAGGCGAGAACAGTCTTTCGGACGTCCGCGCGGATTTCTCGGAGCGTCACTGGAGCCCCCATGGCGGCGCCTCCGGCGCCGCCCTCAGGCGCGCTCCGCGCGGACCTCCGAAAGTCTGTGCGTATGTCATTGTCTGTTCCCCTACGTTGGTCGCCGACGGGGGCCCGATAGTTCGAGTAGGGAATCGACTACAGAATTGATTCACCCCAAACTTTTTTGTCGTCGAGTCATACGTAGGGTTCTCGTAGATTTACGAGCACTCTACGCACTCTACGTGGGGTGTTCGTAGATTCGGGGTAAATCAATTATGTAGGCGATCCTCTACTCAAATAGTTCCACCTCGCCCCACCGCGCCCAGGACCGTTCAGTTTCGGCATCGGGGTCTTATCGCGGATCTATCGGCTATGCATCGTCGGTTCCAGTCTCTTCTGAGGCCAGGCCCCCATTTCCCCCCTTATCCCCCGTGCGCCAGGACCAAGCGTGGCATGATCACTGCGGCGCACAGTTCGCCGATGCGGCCTCCGATGGCCCGCCCTCCAGCCTTTGGTACGGGCAGGGAGCTGCCGTCCATCGCCGAGCGCGTTCCACTACTCGCAAAGTGCCTACTCGCAAACGCCCGAAAAACACGTGTCTGCTTCGATGTAATTTATCGTAGATCCCCCGCGGGGGATCCAGGCCATTTGCGAGTAGTTACTGTGCGAGTAGTGGAACGCGCTCGTCTACAGTCAACGTCTTGAGAAACACACTGCGTTTTTGTTTCGCCATCTTTGGCCTCCTGGTAGCCCCGCCTGGCCCCGGGACCCTGAGAGCATGACTGGGGATTGAACGCCAGCCCTCGGGGCATGGGTCGGGACTGCCAGGCCCCCCCTGTTGGCAAAATCAACACGTGGGGTGTCTGGGATGGGGGTTGCGGGGAGGTTTGATCTTCAGAGTCTTCGGCGTCTGTCGCCCTTTTGGGGAGCGTCTCGGGGCCTTCTCGTCGCCACAGCTGGATCTGCGTCGCGATCAGCCAGAGTCCATCCTCAGAGAGGTCTCGGGGCTCACAGTGGGGGCCCATGCCAAGAGACACCCTGCTCGCCTCCAGGGTGCCCTGGGTTTCTTCGGTTTCGATGGTTTTGCAAAGGAAAGCGTAACGTTCCCACAACAAATGTCAATGGACGTTCTGGGGTCTCAGGGTTGGGTTTCTTGTGGAAGGCTTCTTGTGGTCGGGCCCCACTGTAACTCTCGAGGAGGGGAGGAGGAACAGCAGATGGGGCGCAGCTGCGTTGGGTACAGCGTCGGGGCGGCGGGCTCCGAGCGGAGCGGCATTCGCGCTCGCGGGTGCGTGCCGAGCATCTGGGCCTTCAGCAAAGACGAGAACACTCAGGGGGGACGCTCTAGGCCTCCCAGATGGGGTCGGAGTGGATGGGGTCGGAGGATCGCGCCGCATCGCCGATGCATCGGCGATGCGGCTCGATGTGGAGCCCGATTCTCTCCACGCCGGCGTCGCCGATGCACCGCCGACGTCGGCAATGCATCGACGATGCATCGACGATGGGGCGCGATCCTTCGACCCCACCTACTCGGACCCCATCTGGAAGGCCTCTTCTAGGTAGGGATGGCGGAGGACAAGCAGGACGTTGAGGATGGACGGGCAGGAGAAGCATATGGGATCGAGGAAGGGAATCGAGCGTTGAGAATGCTGTTCGCTCTGGGCTTCTCCTGGACCTCAGGCGTCCAGAGGCCTCCTGGGACCCTCGGAGCCCCCATTGGGAGCTGGCGTCTGTGAGCCTGCTTCCGCTCGCGTTCTCCTCCAAGAGGCTGCCTCGTCCATCACCCCCCCGTCCCGATGCTGACGTGGGCAGACGTGGGAGCGTAGCCGTCTTTGGGTCCGACGGCTATTGCAATGATTCACGTCTTGAGCATGCCAGTCATGGTGTTCGTGTGAGGGTGCATTACCTGGTGCAGTGCAGGTGAGTTTGGGAGGCTGGTGGCAGCGGAGGTTGATCATTTGTCTTCGGCGTGCGCGCCTTTTTGTGAGGAAGCCGGTGCTCGCCCGATGGCGAGCTTTGTTCCCAAGCGCTCCCCGCACTCCATGTGCCGAGGTGTCTGAGATGAAGCGCATCAACGCTCTGAATCTGGAGCCTGCGTTGCCGAAGCTGGATGACAAGACCAGGAAGACGGGACCCGCGAGAAGTATCATTTACAACTCCAGTGCTGGCGAAACCATGGGTGCGGATGGCATTTGTGTGACTTTGTCAGCGCGCGTGTGTCCATGTGTCTCTCCTGTTGTGTCCTAGTGTCTACCGCTCCGATGCGCTGGATGCACTTGCAGACTCGTGTCGATCCGCGAAGTGGCAGCGAGGCACAAGATGACGGCAAGGACGATGAAGAGGAGAAGCAGGACGACGACGTCCGCCTCAACTATAACGACGAAACCATGACGACGATGGCGAGGAACACTGTTGTTCGTTGCACGGGGTGCTGGTACTCACGATTCGGGGGGGGCCGACAGGCTGCAAGCTGCTGCCGGGCAGAGAGCGATGATCCCCGCCCTCCTTGCTCACGCCTCCAGCCACCCCCGAAAAGACTTATCATGAAGAGTCCCCAGGGAAAGCCCCCGGCCGCCGTTCTCCTCGGTGCACCCTTCCCTTGGGACAGTGAAGGTATGGCTGGTTGCCTCGCGAGTGCAATTGGCCTGTTTCAAGCATGACCTTGGTGCAAAAAGTTCTGACAGGGTTCTTCGCTGAGTTCCCCCTCGGAGCAGTAGAGTTATGACAGAATGACCGGCTCCTTCGCGAGTTCATGCGGTTATGTTGCCGCGTTGCCTTGATGACAGGACCGACTGGATAAACTTCAAGCAGCAGCAGTCTCGACCCCCACAACCAGGTGATACACTTGGAGGAACTCGAGGTTCGCATATCTTGTCGACTTTCTGCGAAAGAGAATGCGTACGAAAGGAGGGTCAAGTATAGTCTATAATGGCAGTGAGCACCAGTGATGTTGTGATCAGTTGGCCTGGTATATTCTTCGATCGATGCCAAAGACGGCCAACTTGGTCACATGGAGAACCAGCTTGATTAGCATTTTCGATGCAGCGCTTTTCTTGTCGTACTCATGTTCGTTAATGCTATGCCGAGTTTGTCCTAGTACTGAGGGTACGAGCACTGACGTCAGAGCCATACAAGAGAGGTCCAATGTGGTTGCCCAGGGATAAGCTTGTGATTGATGGCAGGATGGAGGAGGGCGTAAATCGCATCTCCGCCCTTTGGTCGCAGGCTGTTGTTTCAAGCGCACTGACTCCCGTGTCTGGTCCCAACTGTGATGTGAGGTGTCCGTTGTGTTGGCAGATGGCGAGGCTGATTGTGGCATTCTAGACGACTCATCCCCACCTTTGTCTTCTCCGTTGCACCTTGCTGCACTGCCAGTTGGCGGTGCAGGTATGGAGCCCTGAGGGGCTGGGCCTTGAGGTCGAGGGGCTTCGAACGATGTGAATCGACCTGGTATATCCGTTCTCATCTTCACGGACCCACCCCTCAGGGCCCCACCTTTGAACCGCGGAGCTGGAGGGACTCGGCCAAGCCCTTCGGGGCACAGCAACGATGGCGACGACAGCGATGGCGGCGGCGACAACCTCCTCCCCCTTCTTCTCCTCCTCCTCTTCCTCCTCCTCCTCATGTTCCTGCTCCTGCTCCTCCTCCTCCTCCTCCTCCTCCTCCTCCTCCTCCTCCTCCGCGCGACCACAAACCAGAAAGCCTCTCAGCGTGCGCGGCGCCTGACAAGTGCCACCTCGGCCGTGCTCGCTGGAGGCCCTTGCGCCGCACAGATCATGGGACTCAACGCCGTCCCCGCCCGGCCCCTCGGCGCACTGCCGCGCGGCCCCCTCCGTCGAAGAAGAACCGACGCCATGAGCATAGACTTTTGGCGCCCCGCGCGGATTTCTTGGACCCGCGCTGGACCTCCCTGGCGGCGCCTCCGGCGCCGCCCCTGGCGCGCCCCGCGCACCAGGGAGGGGGTCCAGCGCGGATCCAGGAAATCCGCGCGGAGCGCCAAGAGTCCATGCTTGTGCCGTTTGCTGTTCTGGCCGCGCGACCCCCTCCGCGCTGCACGAGGCGGCGCCTTGACTTTGGACGCCTGAGATGGGCACAGAAAGCGTGGGCACGATGCCCAACAACAGATGTTGTTCAAAACCGACAGCGGCCGCGGTTGGGCAGGGGGCTTTCTGTTCCCATGGGCAAGACCCGCGGCGGCACCGACAGCAAATCTGGTCCAGAAGGAATAAGACCTGCTGTCGGCCTTCGTGCCCGTTCCTTCCGTGCCCGTGTCGATCATTCCGAGTGACCGCCGCGCTGCCTCCGCCCAGCGTGCGCTCTGCTTGTCGGGGTCGGAGCTCCAGAGACGGGGGTCGGTGCAAACGGGGTCGGTCAGAGCGCCGGCTCTTGCAGGATCCTGCAGAGCCAGGGTTGCACTGACCCATGCTTGGTCGCAGGATCCTGCAGGATCCTGCGAGGCCTGACTAACCCCGGTCTGGATTGACCTGGGTCAGAACATTCCCGACTCGGGCGTGGGGGGGGCTCCCTTCAGAGGAGAAAGGTACCCATGCTGCTAGGCCTCCCAGATGGGGCCGGAGTAGATGGGGCCGTTCGGTAGCATCATGGGAGCCTCGTATACCCTCTTGATCCCATGTGTAGCGTCGATTAGGCACTAATCCTGCAAAGCCTGACTGACCCGGGCCTGGACTGACCCAGGTCCGAAGGTCGCCGACAGGGCCATCTTGCTGCAGCTCCCTGGCGTGCGCGCGCGCGTGGCCAGCACCGCCGCCGTACTGGCGCGGGGGCGCGCGCGCGCGCGAAGCGGGGATTTGTTCCGCATCCACCGCCTGGGGGACCGACGTCCCTTCAGGTAGGGGCGCAAATAATGACATAAACATACAAACTCGGGGGTCCGCGCGGATTCCTCGGATCGGCGCTGGGGCCCCCTGGCGGCGCTTCCGGCGCCGCCCCTGGCACGCCCCGCGCACCAGGGAGGGGGGTCCAGCGCCGATCCGAGGCATTCGCGCGGACCTTCTAGTTCCCCACATCCAAAGTGGGGTTCTTGTTTTCTCTGGACATCCTCCGCGCAGGAACCTCACCTCCCTCCCACTCTCCGCCTCACTCACGCATTCACCCCGTCATCGGTCATCATCACCATCGGTCATCATCGTCACCACCATCATCATTGTCGTGATTAACGTCGACGCTGTATTATGCTGTGCTGCGCTCGTCCGTCGAGCATGATGGCGCCAGCCCGTGCTGGCGAGCGTGTCTGCCGCGCTCTCTGCACAAGAGAGGGGGCCCCCTCCTCGATCCCATACAGCCGCGAAGGCGGCGGCAAAAGAGAGAGTGAGGAAGGAGAGGTTGACTCAAAACTTCGCTCGAGTCGCCTCGGCTCGACATGAGCCTAAAATCCTTCTCAACCGTTCCGACCGAACTGGATCAAAAGAGGGGCCCTGCACAGTACGAATATGAAAAGGAATGATGAGAAAAGAGCCCGACCCTATCCTCAAGATAGGTCGAGAAAAGCTAAAGCGTCGGCGGCCTCGGCTTCAGCGTCTGCAGATGCCTGCGGCTTGTCCTGAGCGAGTTTGTTGGCTCGCTGTCGCTTCCTGGCTGACATGAAATCCTCGTCGTACCTGATGATCCAGGTACGCCGTGCAAGCCACAGAGCCAGAGGCTTCCTTGCCTCGAGACTGTCCTTCGTGAGGCCGTCGGTGAGATTGAGGTCCGAGGGGACCCAAACCAGGTGCTGGTTCTTCTCGGGCCCGCAGTTCGCCTTCACATGTAGAACCTCCACGCCGGTCCTCGCATCACTCAGGCCTATGCCGAAACTCTCCTTGTTGTGAACTGAATCATAAACTCCTCGGCTGTCGATCACCAGCACCGAGGTCATGGACTGCGCCACCTCCTCCTGAGTGTGCGCAGTGACTGGAACTCCGTGCATGACTGACCATAGCATGCGCATCAGGTACGCCGCGTTCTCGCCGTCGTACAGAGCCTGTCCCTCGCAGCCGTTGGTGCCGATGCCGGTGCGCTTGAGCTTGTACGATCTCCAGTCGGCGATCGATACTGCACATTCCTTCTGCTTGAGGATCTCGGCCGTGGTGAACGCCACGATGTAGCCTCCTCGTTGTAGTAGTCTGCTTGCGTCGACCCACGTCACGATCACTAGGTCGTCCCACTTCAGCTTACTGCCACCGTTGCTATTGAAGTTGTGGAACACCAGGGAATCACGAGCTGTCCGCTTCACATCGCGTATGAGGGCGTTCGTGTCCTTCAGGTCTCCGAACGTCGCCTCGTTCACCCGTTGAGCCAACAGTGACACCCGACATGAGAACTGTGGTGCTGTCTGTGTCGCTCTCCATTGGCATTTCATCAGGCCTGCCCTGAACTGGGTGACGTCCTCCGGCTTGAGCTTGTCATCCTTCGAGAGGTACTTGCCGGACTCGACCCTGATCTCGAGGAGCTGGTGACAGAACTCCTCCTGGCTAGCATGGATCTTGCCCGATGGCTCCTGGGTGATCCACATGCCTGCCCACATGCATGGCGTGCTTCGCCATGGAGACCACCGCAGCATCTCCTTCAGCATGTTCTTCATGTCGAGGTAGAACTTGTTGTCGCTGTCGCCTGCGATGCCAAAGTCGTCCACGTGCGAGCCAATGACCCCGCACACGGTGCCGTTCTGGTCCTGAATGATCCAGATGCATGGCTCGATGAGGACGCTCTTGCCTCCTGCTTCGTGGATCTTGTGGTCCACGTACTTCCAGAAAACCCACGGCGCATTCGTGATCCCGTAGATCGCTGCCAAGACTCTCATGGACTCCTCCTCGTTGATCTGCAAGGCCTGCCGGAGCTCCTTCACGCCCTTCGTGTAGAGTTTCCTCCACTCCTCGGTGTGCCCGGCCTGCAGGAAGGCGGACTTCGCGTCGGCTAGCTCGAAGGTCCAGCCGTGGAAAGCAGCCATCTGGAGGAGTGCCAGCTTCCCTTTTCTTGAAATGGTTGGTGACGCCGTGGGAAGTACCCGATCTCCGAACTTGTCCCGACTGACAAGGTCTGGATGTGAGAAGCCCAACAGAATGATACGGGCCTTCGCCTTGAACTTCCCGTCTGGCGTGCTCACGGGGTGTGGGTCCGACTTGTCCGGTGGTTCAGGTGGTGTCAAAGGCTTCCAGGTCAGTAGCCACCTCATCTTGATCAGCTTGTCCGCTGGAATGTCCTTTCCACGATTGTAGTCAGCGTAAGCCGATGCAGCCCGGACTGTCGGTACTTCCAGATGTTCCGCCAGCTCCCGTGCCATTGCTTCTTGAAACAGTGGCTTCTCCTCGGGGCTCAGGCGGCCAAACGAAACCTCCACACCCTTCTTGACCGTGTTGTTGGCCACTCGGTTCAGCTGCTTCTCCAGGTACGCGCTCGCATCGAAGCAGAACTCCTCCAGGTCCGTCTCGATCTCAATCTTCATCAGGTCCATCTCGGCCTCGTTGTTCGGATCCTGCACGAAGTTGATGATGTCGGTCTCGCTGGCTTCCACATGGTCGCTCGCCGCCTTGAAGAGGGCAGCGTGAGCAACTTCAGCTGAGGCTCTTGATGAAGATGATCTCCCAAAACGCGGTTGGAAAGCTTCAGTCGGTACAGGTGGCCATGACACAGTCGGTTGCTTGCCTCTCAATCTTGTTCGCTTAATCTGTGGTGGCTCTGGTGCTGAGTTGTCCTCGTCGACCTCCAGGTCGTCATCTGCCTCCGTGACGTCGTGGGGTTCCACGGCCACATCGGGATTCTCGATCACCCTCGGCATGCCCTCAAGAGGTTGACGTGGTAGCATCCTCATGCCATCTGCCGTTGGGGAGGGCTCCCCGGCGATGTCGTCAAAGTCCTGGAGGT